AATAATAAATATTTGAATTTAGGGACTTAAATGAAAAATTGAAGAATTTTAAGGATTAAAAGATAATTTGAAAATCGGTAACTGAACTGAAAATTTGGTTCGGTTTACATTTGGTTTTTAATTAAAACCGGTCTGATTTTCAGTTTAGATTTTCTCTAAACTGAAAAATTGATTCGGTTTTTGGTTTTGATAATCCGGTTCGATTAACCGGATTATCCACCCCTAGATAATTGAATCTTTCCATCTCTAAGCATTTAAACCTTAGCACCTTTTCTAGAAGATGCCTTGCCTTTTCTCTTTTTATTTTTTGACTAGGCTCATAACTGCAACCCAACAAACAACAAATAAGCCATTCACATTTGGTGTGATTCTGACACAAATTTATTAATTCCCAGCAATTGTTTCACATTTACCCAGAAGTTTCCAAATCATCACAATGTTGTTAAATTCCTAATCTACCCTTCCACATTGCCTATTATTTGCTTTTAACTTTATCTATGTGATCATCAAATTGAGATGGGGCTCAACATTTTCAACGTGCAACAAAAAATTTTGAAACTGGGTTTTCAATAGAAGTGATTTAATCAGGTGGGTTTCGGAAATTTTGAATCGGATCAAGATGAATTTATTAATGAATTAATTGAAAGGAATAATGGGTTTTACATATAATTGACTTTATCTTCCACTATCTGTCAGTGTACTCTTTTTCTCTTGGAAAGATGCGTTACTGCGTTTTGTCACTTTTTGACTTGACTGAGAAATGCAATGTGAATGAGCAATTAATGAACTCTTTCTCTACGTTTCTAATTTCATCATTTTCCTCGGAAGATGCTCCTCTTTTTCTTATTTGTCTTGATTTATTGGACCGTGAACATTGGGATGCGTTTATTACACTACCTTAATTTTCATATGCTTATCATCTGTTATAATTTGGGGATGCGTTTGGATGGGGGTCATTTAAGATTTGTGTCATAATTTTTATTTAATTTTTAAGATTTTTATGTTTAATTTATAAATAATAAAATATTACTAAGATTTTCTAGTTTATAAATAATAAAATATTACTGATTGTAATATCTTTTTGTCTTGGAAGATGCGTTATTGCCTTCGTCTGTAATCTGAATGAGCAATTAATGGGCTCTCATTTCTACCTTCGTCTGCAATCTGAATGAGCAATTAATGAGCTCTTTCTCTACATTTCTAATTTCATCATTTTCCTCGGAAGATGCCCCCCTTTTCTTATTTTTCTTGGCTTATTGGGCCGTTAACATTGGGATGCGTTTATTACACTAACTTAATATCCATACGCCTATCATCTATTATACTTTAGGGATGCGTTTGGATGGGGTCATTTACGATTATTCCGATAATCCACGCTTAATTTTCGAGATTTTTTTATTTGAATTACAACTAATAAAATATTACGATAATCTTTTATTTTAAATAGTATTTATTATTGATAATATAGTTAATAATCAGATTATCTTGTCAAGGGGTGTTATTAAAAAATTATCAAGGTAATTTATTTTTTATACCTATTTTGCCTTTAATTAAATATTATTTCAGACAGAATTACCCTCAAATGTCTACCAAATAATCATTACCCAAATCCCCTACATTTGAGAATTTAGCTAAAACATTTTGGCCAGAAAAAAGTTTAAAAGTTAAAAAAATACCCCTAACCACCTAAGACCACCACCGGCCGATGGCAACAGTCACCATATCGACACACGATCTGTAGGATCTGGCCGGCTATGTGTCGATCCAGCTATTTTCGACTAGATCAAAGGCTAGAAACGACCAAGTCCACGATGACCTGGCTATTTTCAACCTTCAATCTGGTCAGAAACAGCCAGATCATAGCTAAAGATCTAGCCTTTGCATGCCAAGATCTCTGGTCGTTTTACGACCACATCCTTGGCAGTGAAATGACCTTATCATTGCATGACTGGCCATATCCGACCGGTTGTGCACCATTCCAGTGACTATTAATGGTGTCGACAGTGGTGGCCAGATACCGGCAATGGCTTGGGATAGGTGGGGGTGATTTTGCTAAAATTAAAGTTTTACATGGCTAGAGTGCTTTAGCAAAATTTCATATGTAGGGGTTTAAAAGAAATAATAACAAAATAATAACAAAATTAATGTTATATCAATAATTTAAAAGGAGACAATTTAGCAATCTATATAACGTGCCCACTCATTCACCTCCTAACCAAATATATCAATATAACATACCCACCAATTTATTCCAATCTAACCAAACACATTTTCCTAAATATTCCTAATAATCTTCAAGATAATCTATCTTTTAATTAATATAACATTCTAATAATACAATATTCTCTGAACCAAACGCACCCTAAGTGTAATTTTTATTTAAACTATTGACCGCTAGAATAGTTCCTTTTCCTCTCACCAACCATTAATCTTACAAGGCCTATCCATACAAGTACCATATTCATTCATTGATTTATCTACGTGGGTATCTAAACATTGGTCAGATTCAGTTAATTAAAAACTAAAAATTTAAGAATTTTACACTATGCCAACAAAAATCAATTAAAACAACAAATTAAATAAAAAATATATTGCTATGTCCTGCTTCACGTCTTATGATATATTAAAAATATTTGAGTTGAATGTCCAAAACTACAATGGAGACCCTCTGCCCTCTCTTTTGACCGTTAACCCAAATAACCCAGAAAAGGGCGTAAATCCTTTCTTTTTATTTACCAATTTGTAAAAAGAAAAAAATTGATTCAATTTCTTTGTGGAATCATTGGCATATGTGTCTTCCTTTATTTTCCAAACTATAATTTGAGCTTCTATAATCATTCATCCCTAAAAACCAAAATCAAATCAAATTTATATAAAACCAACTCTAACAAACTCTTATTTGGAACAATTAAAAACAGAACCCAAAAACAATGGCAGCTTACAGCATTATTAAAGAGTAATCAACTTCGTTTAAACTGCCCATAAATCCAAACATCACCAACATCATAAATCTTGACTTTATGTTTCATAAATTTTGATGATAAGGAGTGTAAGTGTATTAGGGGGTTAACTTTGATTTTGTATATTTGAGAGACTGTCATGGGAGTAACCCTACATAGCCCCAATGGAAGTTAATGGAGAGGAATATTTTTGTTAATTTAATAATATTTTCAATGCGCTTTTGAAATGTTGAAACCTGAGAGGATGTCTATGTAATTTAATATAATTTCTCCCCAAGTTTTTCTTGAAAAAAATGTTTACCTTTAAGTATCTAAAATAACAATTTACCTCCTATTATTAGTGTTTTAATATAATTTTTATCACCTAAGTAACACACATTACCATTAATCCCTCTAAATTAAACACCAAAACCTCTAACCAATGATGATAACAAAAAAATTGTTATTACAAATACCTTATGAGGAAATTTCAAGAGACCTCAAGGTGAATTTTATTAAATCCAAAACCAAATTATAACATTATGGTTGTGAGATTGTCTAATTAAAAATAAGGGTTTAAACCAATTACCTCCCTAGTGGTTTTCAAAATTGACAAGTTGGTCCCTATGTTATGCGAATTATCCAACCACCTACCTGCCGTTAGTTTTTTCCATAAAATCTAACTGTTCATTGATTTTGACCACTAAATGACAGTATTACCCTAATTTAAAAAAAAAAAAAATTCAAAAGACAAGCCCAAAAATTATGTTAAATTAATAAAAATATATGTATAATCATTAAAAATAAACCAAAAAGTCTTAAAATTATGTTAAATTCATTAAAAAAAGGGGAAAAATTATAAAAAAACCTACCAAGTTCAAAAATTTCTTAAAATCTATATTAATTTTTGGCCTTTTAAATTGTTTGTAAAAAGTTTATGTTCTAGGCAATTTTATTGAATTTTTTATGTTACGTTATTTAAAAATAAAGATTTTTTTATTAATTTTGTGGAAACTCAATTTTAGGAGTAATTTGGTCATTGCATAAATCAATTTGCCACCTCCCTGCAGCCATATCCCACCCACTAGCAATGAAATTTGAATCTTACAATACGGAACCAATATTAACAACAAAAAAAATCAATCAAAATAAATAAAGAATTAATTGATTAAAGCCAATAACAGCAAATTGGGTTTTACATATCTAGTCTTCACCCTCGCTCTTTTTTACATATTAGGCATCTTAAAAAATTGATCAAATGGAGATTCATGGCTGATAATGTGATTAAAAATAATACAAATTGATGCCAACAACCAATTCTACCACCCCATTTCCCCATTGTTTTAGTGCCTCTCTCACTACTAAAACACACATGAGAGCCATCATGTGATGTGATTCCACTTTATTGATTCGGGTCTCTGGACCATCGCTTGACCATGTCACGTGCTCATCACGTTTTTTACAATGAGTCGAGAAACATTTTAAACTCTAGGTTTGGTAATAGTATGATTAGGGGTGTTTAAAACCGATTAACTGATTAATTTTCCTAAACTGAAACCAAACCGGTTAAGGAAAAAACTGGTTTTAAATATCGAAAAACCAATTTTGAATTGGTTTTAATTTAATATTTTATATATTTATTAATTTAATATTTTTATAATATACTGGTTTTTTATTTTATATTTTAATTTAATATTTTTATAATAAAATGGATTATAAAACTAGTTTTGGTTAACCAATTCTCATATTCTCGTAAACCGATTCTCATATTATCGTAAACCATTAACCAAAACCAAACCGATTTTCCGAATAATCGATAACTGATTCCATTCGATTTTTGTATTTTTTTAACACTCCTAAGTATGATAGGTCCCAAGGTTCTACGACATGAATCTTTTTAAAACAATCAATAACGGGGTTTTGTTACAATAGATTGTTGCAATAGCACATCAACATGAAACTTGTAAAACAAAAACGTGAAACTTGTAATATGCACTTTTACATGGTATTATATAGCCACAGCATAGCCATAGAAAGAAAGTAAACTAATTAAGCAAATACAACCAGAGTTTCACACAGAAAACAAGTAACCAAATAGTAGCAGCGTCCAAGAGTAGAAAGAGCAATCAACATCATTTCGCTGCCTAGAAAACCAAACATCACCAACATTAGATAGTAATTACGTTGAATCACAACACAGAAAACATCCGGCAGTAAAAGATTATATAGCAGTAGCCTTCATCTAACATATCTAATTAAATAGTTCAGCAACATAATCCGAATTCCAGGGAAGAAAATCCAGAGAATTTCAGAATGACATCCATCACAATATGTGTCCACTGGCCAGCAAAAAGGTTATCGTTAATGTGTGCACCAGAAACCAAGCAAGACTTAAACAATCACTGTCAATTTTGCAATTCTGAACAAAGCAGGTGGTATTGTCTTCCATTGTTGGTCAGCTTAACTTCTTTCATTACTTGGTTAGCTTCCTCCCACAGCATTGTAATAATCTTGTTAATCCTCTCCCATAAAGAATATCTCCTTATATTATAAACAGTTTGGCGTGTTTTTGCAGCTTTTTGCTTTCCTTTCAGTCATCTGGGAGGGTTGCAAACTGACTAGTATCAGAAAGGGGCAATTACACAATTCAGGAATTGAATGAATAATTCATAAAAAGAATTGTGCGACCTGATGTAACACAATATGCATGGGATGGGCCGCTGCCTCAATTTGGCCTTTTATCCTCATCAGAGGAGAAATTATCAAATGTCCCTCACACTTTGAGGCAATGAGTTTTTTATTTGAAATAAAAAACAGAAGACTATGCCTTCACCAGATGAATGCTTGATATTAAGTAATAATAGCACTTCAAACTGCAGAACATAGAGGGCATGGCATGGATTCACCCAAATATATAGTAATGCAAAAGAAGACAAACCAAATATAATGAACAGTATAAATTGCAGAAAGCTAGCTTCACAAGGCAACAAAAAGTAAACTTTACCTTGAAACCATTGAACTATGATGCAGGACACCACCACAATTATACAGAATACCATAGACAGTTCCAAGATTTGGCATATCTTCAAGATCAGGCAAACAAGAAAACCCCATAAATGATGGAGTGCAAAGCCTTGAATTTCCTCTTCGAGGATTTCCTACCAAAGTAACAAGAAAGATGCTGCGCAGAATCTGCATAAGTCATTTTTTAACACTTTACCACTGGAGGGATATGGGGATGTAAAAGGTTATCCTATCAACTTGTTCCAACCTACTATAATAAGCTCATGGGTTTGAACTTAAGTTACCTTTCATATAAGAAGATTTCAACCTCCAAGTTTCACTCAAGTGCTACTCGCTTCTTTTAGGACCTGCAAGCCTGTGTCAGTTCCATTCAGTAACAAATTTGGAAAACTGTAAAATACAATCAACATCTTACATCAATAATAACAATAAAAACAATAATGGCCTAGCCCTACATTATTTCTACAAGTGAAAAACATTGCAAGATCATTCCCTGCATTATGACTTGAGATCATTATATAATCATTTTCTTTTTGGAACAGAATTCATATTTACATGAAATTTATTGATTAGGCTTCTCTGGAGTTTAAAACTATTAATAATAATTGGGTGATTTTCATGAGCTTTATTAAAAATCCTGATAAGCCAATTAAATCATATAGGACATGTTTAATTCTTCACCCATAAATCATACAGGCAGATAACAAGGTTAAAATGCATTTTTAAAACTGAAAATGCATGGCTAAAAGTAATACATATATGCAGATAACAAAGTTTAATAGAGTATGAGAAACATCCAATGCTGGAAAGAGTTGTTACAAGATTTAACAAGTAATGATTTACTTAATAAGGAAATTGACTTCAATGTTTGAGTCCACTTACTAAACATTATATAGCCTAATAAAAACATCAATAAAAGTTATGCTACCTCATAAAAAACTGAACTAGCAGTTTGCTATCAAATGACATCATATATAAACATTAACACAGGATCAGCCCTCCAAAACAAAAAAGTTAAAAAGATTGTCACTAAAACTCGATATCTTTCATGTATCCACTATATCTTTAACATTTCTCTCCAAACCCTCACTGCCAAAGAACTTATCACTTGTTTTAACTTCATATTACTGGTTCTTATTTTTTTTATTTTTTATTTTTTCCTTTCCCAAAGAGACCAAAAAGACATTGATTTGTCAGGCAACATGATTTTCTCAGTGTAAAGTAATAATCTAAGAGTACTTATGGCTTAGTTTTAATATAAAATAATAATTTTCCATACATCAAGTCTACCGATATTTCTATTTAACATCACATGTGGATGATAGTTGAGTGATACACAATTAACAAATATTAAATAGTTCAACCAATGATTAATGCTAAATTGAAATGAAGAATCAAATAAGTTAAATGAAAAACAAAAAATCAGCAGAAAATAGAAGTATTAACAGTTACCTGATGACATTTGAATCAAAGCCAGATAGATTGGCAGCTTCTCTCAAAGCAGTCCTCCATCTCTGCAATGTTTCTTGTGAACCCTTGAAACGTTTTTCAAACTTAGTAAATGCATCCCCAAAAGTCCCAATCTGATTCCCTACATCTGATGGGTATACACCATAGAAAACAGGAATTACAATCTGACCCTAACTGTCCTTGCATTCAAGGATCTTTACAAGTTCTTCAAGGCACCGTAACGAAGAAGAATACTCTTTTGAGAAAACAATCAAGGAAATCTTTGACCGTTCAATTGCATTAAAAAGAGATGGAGGAGTCTGATCCCCTCTTTTAAGCTCGTCATCAATGAATGTACTGATCATCTTTTGACACAATGCGGCATACAGATGGCTGGCAAAATTATTACAGGTATCCTCATCTCTGAAACTAAGAAAAACATCATAATTTTCTTCAGGAGAAGAGAAAGAAGAAGCAACAGCCATTAACTTACAGTGATGAGAATATTACTTGACATTAACAAAAACGTAAAGAGCTAAACCAAGACATCATATAATTGAGTCTTTGCATCAATCTCTAAGCATTTCAAATTATCTCCTTTCCTAGAAGATGCCTTTCACATCTGGTGTGAGAGGCAACCCCAACAAACAATTAATAAGCCATTCACATCTGGTGTGGTTGTGACACAAATTCATTAATTCACACACAGGAAATTCCTTAGCAAGGGTTCACATTTACCCCTCCTGACACCAAAAAGTTTCCAAATCATTACAATTTTGTTAAATTCTTAATATATCTTCTACATTGCCCACTATTTGCTGTTAACTTTGTCCCTGTAATCATCAAATTGAGATGGGGCTCAACATTTTCAAACATGCAAACAAAAATTTTGAAACTGGGTTTCCACTAGGAGTAATTTAATTGAAATTAAGAATAAATCTAATGAAGAAGTACTTTTATATTTCTGTCATGACAATCAATCACGATTCTACTTTTGCTTTTGTAATTTTATGGTCCTTCATTGTGGACAAAGTTCTGGAATAGTTCTAGAAATCAATCTAGAAATTCTAACATTTTTTTTTTCTCCAATCATATATAACAGGATAACAGAAAAGATGCTTATACGTAATCAGAAATCTAATAGATGCTTGTTTTACATTTTCACATAATTTAACTTAACACATAAATTCATTGACAATATATATGCTAAATGTATTAAGTTAATTAATTAATTATTAAATTTATATTTTATTTCTAATTGACTAACCCAGTTAACTTAATCCTATGGTGACTGGCACTAACAACCCAACCACTGCTTCATATTTTTCACTTGGTAACTAGTTAACTTCTAATAAATTGTTGAATTAATATTTTAGAAGGATTAGGTTCTGAATTCTTATTCATGTTCTTAAATATATATTTAATTTATAGTCTTTAATTACTGATTTCTGGCAACTTGACCTTCTTCATTCACATTAATTAGTCATATGACATGATGTCGCAAAACAAGAAAAAGGGAAACATTAATTTGACTGATTAAAACAAGAAAAAGGGAAAAAGGGTATCAATTTAATAACTCAATCAAAACATCACAATAAGAACGGATTAAATTAACATTAATACTTTATTTCCAATTGACTTCTCCTTGATTGACAGTTATAAATACGCCACCCAACCAGAATATGACATAGAAATAATAAATTAATATATTAATTTAGCTGCCAACTCCAACTCTGTCCGTCAGTAATTGTTGTATGTATATATAAGTTTTATTTGATGTTTCTATCCCCAATTATTGCGTGTTCTATTCTTCATATTCTTATGAACAGAAAAATTTAAAAAAAAATTATCTTATATTATCTATCACTGTGTAAACAAACAGTGGCGTTCACATTATATTATCTTCACTAAGTGGGTTTCAAAAATGGAGTCGGATTAAGCGAAATTAGGGATTCAAAATTAAGAATATCAGAGTTTCGAATCAAGATAAACAACAACAAAAATCAATCAACAAAACCAATTTATTAATGAATTAATTGAAGGAAAAATGGGTTTTACATACCAAGTATTCAGTCTGCTCTTTCTCACGAATCAGGCGTATGAAGAATTGAATGAAGGGAGATTTAGGGTTTGACAATGTGATTTGTAACCATATTTGGCGCGAGTGAACTGTATCTCCATTCTCCATCCCATTTCACGCGCTATTCTGGATCTTCCTAACCGGAGCTCTGCAACTAAGGAATAAAAAAAAATTGAATCTGGGTTTTCACAAGAAGTGACTAACAAGTTGGTTTCCAAAACGGAGTCCGATCAAGTGAAATAAGGGATTCAAAATTAGAATATCAGAGTTTCAAATAAAGATTAACACAAAAATCAATCAACAAAACAAACTTATTATGATAATTGAAGGAAAAATGGGTTTTCACATACCATATTCAGTCTGGCTCTTTCTCACGAATCAGGTATATGAAGAAACTGAATGAAGGGAGATTTAGGTTTGACAATGTAGCTTGTAACCCCTGTTAAGATTGTTGAATATTTTTCAAAATTGTATTATGAACCCCCATCAAAGTTAATATATTTTTTTTAAATTTATTTCATCTCTCTATTTATGAAATATCATTTTTATCCTCCTTGTCATCCATTTTAATTTTTAACAGCTCCGACCTCCAACACCAACAGTCGGGGTGAGGGTATATTTATAGTTTTGAAGTTGTGGAGGCTGTGGTTACGCTTTTCAGTTTTAGGGTTGTATATGGTAAAGACCCTTTTTTGAAAGACGATAAAGGAACGTTCTCTCACGATTATTAACTATGAACCATTGAAGTCCAAAGAAAGTGATGGTTTTCAGATGAATTGATTTGGCTCTCTCATCGATTTCCAATTCATTACATTAAATGAATTAATAGTTTATAAAATGAGCATTCTTTCGTTCTGCCACTAGCCACAATGATTAAATCTTTATTTAGTACACTACTACTCAAGTTTTTCAAGTATCTTTCTATACTCGAAAACATAAAACAACTATGAAATATCAATGTGAATGCTATGCTTACTCATGATCTTATTACCGTCTAACTAATAGTTAAACACAGCATAGTACGGTACTATATGTAATTTTAACAAAAGTGAGTAAGACGGTTAGTAAGTTCGTGAGAAAGATACATATTCATACACGATTCACCACACATAAGAAACAAAATTGTGGTCTTGAAAGATTTGCATGACGACATTACAACGGTACTCCAAAGTATAAAATCTAAATATGTTCTTTAAAGATGAAAAACATACATCATGCATCAAAATTGATTTAATTACACTTAACTTCCTCTGGGGTAAAAAGGCTATTTATTTTAATTTCTCAGGACGCGTGCGTGTGGTTGCTTCAAAAATGTCAACAGCTGAAAGGATGCAGATTATGTTTTAACAAGAAGTCCACAGTACCTTTGATGGGGGAAACAAAGTTTGGACCGTGAGGATCTTCCAGAGATTTTTGTGCTTTTAGACCTTTTCGGTATAAGATACGCAGGCTCGCGAGGACGGTAACCCAAATAGACTCAGAGCTCTAAGTCGTTGGAAGTACTCCCCCAACGCAAGCAAGCCTCGCCTGCTTGGCGAGTTGTTAGGATACGAGACATCTGCTGTAGCGTCGTATCCTGGCAAGATGGTCAACCTATTTAGACAAGAAGTAGAAGAAATGCAAATTCGACTCACTAGAAAGTTTCTCCATTTAATCAGATGTGCTGATAAAGACTAATTGACAGATCAGAAAATGGATTACTGAAAGATATTGAAAGTACAGATAGCATGCAATAGAAACATTAGCTATTCTTACCTGGTTCCAAAGACGACTAGAGCTTCCAACTTCTCCATTGCATAGATATCCGTGGGATGTAATCTCTTTCTACTAGTTGACCAACATACAGTTTCAGCAAGAGTTGATTGCAATTTCTCCATGCCTTGACAGAGCATCTTCCGTTTCCTGACATGACTGCTTTAGGTTACTAACTTCTATATATTGAATCGGTCAAGGTTGCAAGATGAAGAACAAAGACCTGTTATCAATGTCAGTTTATGAATCAGCGTTATTCCGTGTGGTGAAAGACCTTAGATTGCGAAAGAGCAATTTTTACATATATATATAAATTACTGATGTGTCCAAAACTATGGTTACACCATTATTATACATAATACCTTCAATGGAGCAAATTATTTCACTTATTAATAAAATGAAATATGAATAACCTTAAGAAGCTCAGAAGGGCAAAATTCTCCAATCCAAAAGAAAACGTTCAGTTGCTGTCTTCCACATGCCGGACATTACATAGAAAACATCGGCTTTTGCAGCATAGATTTCATGCGGAAAAGTTCAAAATAGTGGCTCATGCCACCCTGCACCAGTATGTGAAGCTCTATATCACTAATATGGGCCTGCAAAGCAGACCCCAGTTCACAAGTTTACCTATTTTGCTCTTCAACCCAGTGTCCTACTCCTATAAAAAAAAAAAAAAAAAAAAAAAAAAAAAAAAAAAAAAAAAAATAATCATATACAAAATTAGCCACAACTCATGGGTCAAATCAGGGGCGGATTCAGCCCCTTGAGGGTAGGCTTGGATTTGAAAAAAAAATTATAGTGTACAAGCCATAAAAATTGTTAATTAACATATACACTCAACGAGAATGTTAGTCTTACAAAGACAAATACAAATGGGGCATACAAAGACAATCCTCACCCTTGATCTTCATGATTTCTCTCTCTCCTCTCTCTTTTCTCTTTTATGTTTTTTTTTTTTTTTTTTTTTCGCTTTGTAGGCTTCTTTGTATAAGTCTTTGTAAGGATGACTTATTCTCACCTAGATTTTAAAAAATAACAATTATTATACATACTGTATTCTACGCTTACAAAAAAACTTGTTATATATATATATAATATTTCTAAGCCCACATCATATTAAAAGTTTAAAACTTTCTCAGTGTTTTTTACACAACTTTACCTGTATTTTATGATTTTATCCCTAATTCTTTACTCTCCTTTCTCTTTCTCATGTTATTCGCTCTTAAAATTTTTAAGACTGAAATTGTAAATTTTCACTACCAAGGTGTCATAATTAGCTCCGTTTTTTATTTATCGATTTAGGTATGTGTATTGTTCATTTCAATTTAGTTTATTTAAGGATTGAATCATTTTTTTTTTCTTTTTGAGTTTTTTTATTCTAATTTGAAAGAAAAAATATATTAATCTTGTGAGTTTATTTTGTATTTTCTGTCTAAGATGAATCTGCTTTCTCAAATTAAAACCTTAACTATATTTAAAGGATATTCTTCATCATTCACCTACCACTTTCTTACATTTTAAACGTTACCGTTTAGTTTTCAAAATTATTAAAAAAATTTGAGTTACTATCTATGTTTATACTAAAAAAATTTCCCCTCTTTTATTAATTTATTTAAAGTCAACGTAATGTTGACTTGATTTAAGTTTT